ATCGGAACGCCCTGAACTCGAGCCGAGGGGGGGGACCGCCGTGCTTAAGAGGTTAATGTCCTCAACTCGATCATTAATCCCTGTGATGCTTCTCCAATTGTGCCATCGACTACTCTCTGTGATACATTTCTTACATTTTTTATCGAAAAAATATCTGCTCTGAGGCTAGCCCATACTAGTGCTACCCCAGATCCTGCTCCTTTTCTGTGCCCTGCTGTCCTCGACCACTTTGAGCCTGTATCCCTCTCTTCTCTCTCGGATGTAGTCAAGCACCTGCGGCCGACAAAATGCACCTCAGACAGCATTCCCTCTCGCTTTCTCAGAGATGTTTTCGAATCAGTTGGAGCAAGTGTTTTATTGCTTGTAAACACCTCTCTTAGCTCAGGATGTGTCCCAGCCGTCTTCAAACATGCCGTGGTGTAGCCACTACTTAAAAAGAAAAATCTCGATCCCTCCATTCTCGCACATTTTAGGCCCATCTCCCAGCTACCCTTTTTATCTAAAGCCCTGGAGCGAGTAGTCTATAGGCGCATTCACACCAAGTACTTTTCCCACAGTAGTTCCTGAGAACTTTAGTTCATGAGAGTTCTTTTAGTTCTGACGAACTAAAGCAGATCGCGTTCACACCAAAATGAGTTCCTGGGGGTGGATTAGGCAAATGAGCCGCTGACGTCACTTCTTCTTCTTCTGCTTAGCTTTTCCTGGCAGGCTGCAAACAACTTCACGGCGAGTACAGTAGGTGGCGGTATGCACCTTAAAGTTGCAATCCGCCAAAAAACCGAGAGAAGAAGAAGAAAAGCTTCCGCTTCCGCTGTATGCTTCTGTTTACCTTCCGACCTCAGACACGGTATGGAGTTGACGTTTTGGTTATACAGCTTCGTAACGGAGTTATTTAAGCCAATAACTCAGCCACAAATAAAAATACAGATCGACCATTCAAATGCAATAGAAATGCTGAGTCGGAGGCGAAGGCGGTTAAGAAGCCTTAACAAAAGGATTGGACCACGAAAAGCACACGCTATGGACATGTTTCGATAGCTGAGGATGATGACCGTTATCACGCCCAAAGAACAGCAATTGTACGTTCATTAAATCACATTAATACTATCTAATGTAGGATTTATGGAGTTATGTAGGGCTAATTTGTGTCTTTGTATGTATTCCAGATATGCGAATACTACGGAACGCGTCGTGTCCCGCGCTCTCTCTGGGTGAACAATAGAACCTCGGCCTGGTGCACACCAATGTGCAGTGGATCAAAGTGGATCTTTTCAACTCCTCTGTATTCGCCTGGAAGCAACCATTGGGGAGACGCAACCTAAACAAATCGCCACGGGGCAAGACACGCGCACAGCCCTTGAGGCATCTGAACAGCATGGAAATTGTAAATTGACAATAAAGCTGATCTTTTGTACTGTGCATTTGGTTCTCTCTTTTATTTACCACAGTCAACAGACACAATTACAATAGTGCAGACACACCTTTGTGCAAAGATTAAATGTCAGTATCAAAACAGTACTCATACTGTATATTTGTATATTAATATGAGTATATTATTATGTTAAATGTGTGTTAAAGACAATGGGATGAGGTTGAAAGCTCTTTAAAAAGCTTTTGTATACCATCTTTACTGTGATAAATACATACATGTTAAGCATACACATCTGAAGAACTACGTTACACACACACAGGTTAGTCTGTGTACCGCTGCACTGCTGCTGGTTTAAACAAAGACAGTCATGATGCTAGTGCCGTGCATGTAGGTTCTCTTTTATTTATCAGAAGCAGATCAATAAGTGTCAGTAGTATCAAAACAATATAATAACAGTGGCAATATATATATAATCACAATAATACAAAATGAACTGTCCCAGGTGTAGGCAATTTGGGGTGAAGTGTCTTGCCCAGGGACACAACGACATCCTGACTGCAGTGGGGTTTGAACCTGTGCTCCCCTGATCCGAACACCAACGCACCAGACCACTGCATCACACGCCTCCCAACAAGTCATTGTACAGTTTATCAACGACAAGTTTTTCTTAATTTTTGTATTGAAGGCCTGTTGGATTTAATCAGCTCGCTTAGCACTGCCAGAAGCCCAGCCTGAAAGGTATTTTGTTGCTCCACCTCGATTCCTGGGCCTTGTGTGAATGCAGCAGCCGTTCGTCGTGCATCTCCTTGGCACGCAGGTCCTCATTCTCCTTGCTGACCATGGCACGGCGGGCCATCGCCATGATGGTGTCAAGGAAGCTGTCATCGCGTGCCCACTTTCCTAAGGTGAAATATGCAAGATACAAGATCAGTTTAATCGCAACAACAACACAACATTGTCCAAATCTGTCTCTGCAGGCACACAACAGGAGGAACACAGGGAACACCTTTGATTTGACTATTAACATTTTAAATGGTGAAGGCACTAGCAATTGGGGGATGGAGGGCTCTCAGGACATGATAGGGACAAATAGATACAAATTAAACGTTTTACAATTTTAATGCAAGCATTAATGATGCTATGAAGCTTTGAATGATTCATACCGTAATAGAATAAGCCACATAGTCTTTAAATAGCCTTAGACACTTGACAGTGACTTTATTTAAAAGTTATTTCTGTCTGTAATGCATCTTTGCACCACATTGACATGATAAGCTGCAACAATCACATTTAAATTAAATAAGTGGAGGTGGAGTGTGACTGTGTGTACGTACCATTTGACGATTGACCAGACGATGTGGACCCCATCTGCAAAGCAAAACAAGTTGATCTTACAAACATTTCCTAACATGTAAACAGCGCTCTGTATGAACGTGTGAAGCAGAGTGTTAGCCCACCTTGGGGGAGCGTGTCTGGGGTAAGTTGACGGAGTGTTTCAGCCTTTTGACGGCCTCAGTGATGGCCTGGGTCTCCGTCTCGTCCAGAGCACAGCACAGGTTCTTCAGAGTCTGCACCACCCGCTCCACCGTCTTATACTGGGTGCTCTGAATATAGAGATACACGTTGGTCAGAGGTAGGAAGTAGCGTACAAATACCTCGTTACTGTACTTAAGTACATTCCACTACTTATTTTTCTGATCACTTTTTACTTCTACTTCTTACATTTTGAACACAAATACCTGTACTTTCTACTTCTTACATTTTGAACACAAATACCTGTACTTTCTACTTCTTACATTTTCCAAACAGGCTGGTTACTTTAGTTTGAATGTGTGTTTGGTGGCGTGATCATTATTATTTAGAGTCATTGCGTGCCTATTGATTTGAACACGATCCGTGTATCCATCATTTCCTGGTCTTCTCTAAAGAAGAGGGACCAATGAAAACGTTGTCATGTTGCCGTTGTTCAGCATGGAAACATTCATTAGCTAACAATGACATTATTGTTCTATTAATATAAAGGGAGGTCAGGTACTCTTTAAAACAGCTGGTAGTTATGGGTACTTTTTACTTAAGTACATTTCAAAGCCCTCTTTACTTTTACTTAAGAAGTTTTACCAGAGTATTTCAAACACGAGTATCTGTACTTCTACTTGAGTAAAGGATGGAGGTGTGTGGCGCAGTGGATAAGTGCATTGGTGTTCGGATCAGGGGAGCACAGGTTCAAACCCCACTGCAGTCAGCATGTCGTTGTGTCCCTGAGACACTTCACCCCAAAGTGCTCCTGTGGGGATTGCCCACAGTATTGAGTATGTAAGTTTTGGATAAAAGCGTCTAACAAGTGACATGTAATGATTCAAAAAGCTTTTGAATATTGAATAACAAACCAATGTGGTTTACTTGTTATCCACAGTTTAGCTGCTAAATGTTTTTTAGCAATGCTTTTCTTTGTGCTCCACATATCTAAATGTATAAAGTGTGTTTTCACCTCCGTTCCCTCCTGTTTGCTGCAGTATGGCAGCAGCGGTCAGGATGGACCGGGCACAGGGTGTGGAGCTGCCTACTCTCAGCGGGGGGGAACTGAACGTGGAAACTGTGTTTCTCTGAGGGATCCTCCATGTAGTCTGAGAAGCCTTCTGAGGAAACAAGGTCAAACTATTTAGGATAATACAAGGAACAATGTTTAGGCAGTAAATAGAATTTCAATTACATTTCTACTTAAATGTGCAAAAATATTAGAACATCAGTCTTTGTGGCATGCAGGTAATCAACTGTTTAAGCTTTTACCATTAACATGTAGAATGAATGTTGCAAATTACTTGAAATTAGAGCAACTACAATCTATTGTTTACCTCAGTGTAGCCACAGAGGTCCAGCTAGCATGCTAATTGCTAACGTTATATTATCGTTTTATCCCGGAGGGGAAAACTAGTTTCTAATCCTGAGAGAAACACCTCGCCTGAAACACACGATTAGTGCCATGAGTTAGTGAAGCAAATTACAGAACATTGCACACTTATTCACAAGTCAAAACGTGTTCATAGCGGGCATGGATGAGAATAGCTAGCTAGCTAGATGTTATTAGCCAGCTTGGACCTAACGTTAGCAAGTTCTACCATGGCTAGCTCGATCTACTGAGCAAATAAAAGTACATCTAAGACCAGTATTGTGCAGATTAAAACAGTGCAGTGCATGTATTTTATTTTACCTTGGTAGTCGTCCCGACATGACTTTGCCAGGTCTGCTAACTTTGCAGAGCCACAGAAACTGCATTCAGTAGAAGCTTCTGAATGTGGCGCTTCGCGTCCTCCGAGTCAATCGCCAGAAGCGCAGACACATCCTCATCCTCATCCTCATCCTCATCACTCCACCGCTCCAATTGATTTATTTAGTGCTGCTATAATAACTGCTTTCACAAAAGGAATCTCTTCGTGTGTGCTGCGAAGCGAGGAAATACAATGGCCGCTTACAACAACAAATTCTGAGTCAAACGGGCGTGGTTTGCATTCCGCACAGCCAATCAGACGTACGAACTACTTTCTCCCACGAAAGACCCTGCTCTGTGGCAGGGACTGAAAAGCGAGTCTCGCGAACTAAGTTGAGCTACTTTAGTTCCTGGAGTGGAGTGCACCAGCTGGGCGTAAAAAAGTAGGTCTTAACTCTAACGTCGGGCTTAGCTACGTCCGACTTAGTGATTAGAATTTACACCGAGTGCACCAAACCTGACTAGTCTCGGTCGTAGCTGCGCCTGGTCTTAAGATGCGCGTCCACGTGAATACACGCGAAACAGTAATTGTTGCCAAGCAACACACGTCTATATAATTTAACACTCGAACTCCTCCATTCAGAGCAAGCTAAGAATTGAATAACGAATATGGATAACGGAAACCAAAAGAAGAGAAAAACCAATTTTACTGATAGAGAGATTAGAACATTAATTGAAATATATGCAGAGCATAAAAACTCGCTAACTGCCAAATTTAACAATACCATGACAAACAAACACAAACTCGCAGCCTGGAAGTCGATCACTGGTGCGATAAATGACTTGGGTGATGGAGGGATACGGACGGTGGAAGAGTGTAGGAAAAAGTGGAAGGACCTACTATCCAGAGCCAAAAAAGATGCTTCGGTTCTCAAAAACCCTCCGACCGGCGGAGGCCCTGCACCAAAAACCTCTCCATACAGTGATATCATTATTGCTATTTTTGGAGAGGATTCCCCCACTTTCACCGGGTTGAATGGGATTGACAGCTCAGAGCCGTCAACCTCAACATTTGAAGAGGTTGACGCAGACGTGTCAGCTGTCACTAGTGGTAAGTCATTAATAGAGTAACATCACCCTACATTATCTATATAAACATTACCCCCGTGAGACATCACGGCTAGCAAGATAACAATTAGCAATCGCGGCAGTTGATAGCAACTGACAATAACTGACAGTAACTGACAGTAACTTGCCATTTTACAGACTCAGAGGACCGCAGAGAAGAGGGAATTCCCACACCCACAGCGTCAGCGATGACTCAAGAGGAATCCCAAATGGCCACACCCCGAAAGAGAAAGAGGGATTTGTCAGAGCTACAGCGGGAACTGACGGAGAAAGAAATCGTTCGTGTGGAGGTTGAGACCGTAAAATTGAGAGCGGAACACGAGAAAATTGAGCTGGAGAAGGAGAAATTGAGACTCCAAATTATAATCCTTAATAATCAAATAATCACTGAAGAAGACACTGTGTTCACCATTCTGTAATCATATCTGTTGTACTTGTTTTTTTATCTCAATTTCATGTTAATAGTTCTCCAAAATGTTGTTATTTAATGTTCTTGTGTGTGTTCTTTGAATAAAATAGACCTAATGAAAATATGTGGTCACAATAGGAGCTTATTGAAATGCAATTGCAAAAAAACAGCGTTCATATTACAAATATATAGGTCTATAGGTTGTTTATTATATGATTGCGGGTAAGTCGTCCACCGATATCTTCACGGATGCCAGCAGGAGCCACAGGGTTCTCATCCGCCTCCAGTACCAATTCTCCTTGCATCGGAAGGGGGATTCTCTTTTTCACACAGATGTTGTGCAGCACCGCAGTGGCAGCAATGATCACGCAGACGCGCTCAGGGTGCATTCGCATTTCACTGTGGAGGCAGTGAAACCTACAAAAAAAAGCAAAAAACAATTTAGCCTATATCTACATTAAAAGGCTGGCCTTTTATATATTATAAAAATGACTTACTAACCTACGTTTGAGCACTCCAATGCAGCGCTCTACAATGTTCCTCGTTTGTGTATGCTTCTCATTATAGCGGCGCTCTTGTGCAGTTCTCTCTGCGATGACAGGTGTCATTAGCCATCGCTTCAGAGGGTATCCACTGTCTCCGAGAAGAAGACCATTAATTCTCCCTGCCTCAAATTCCCGTTGAAGGGCGCTCTCTCTCAGGATGCGAGCATCATGGGTCGACCCAGGCCATCTTGCAACGAGGTCGACAATGCCCATGTCCGAGTTGCAAACAATTTGGATATTTATTGAGTGGTAACCCTTTCTGTTAACATACAAATACTCATGTTCAGAGGGGGCCTGAATGCGAACATGAGTACCGTCGATGCATCCGACAATACCAGGTATACCGGATTTTAACAAAAAATCTTGCCTGGATTTTGCTGATTCTTCTTGTGTGGGTAGGTGAATATAGTTCCTAAGGCGGCGCTGGAGGGCCAATGAAACTTGTCTTATAGCCCGACATGCAGTTGTGCGATGAACATTAATCATGTCTCCCACAGTATTTTGAAAGGCCCCGTTAGCGTAGAATCTGAGCGCAATCAGCACCTGCAAGGTTGGGGAGAGCGCAGCGTTTCGGTTTGATCCGTGCTGGAGTTGAGGGGAGATCTCCTCGATTAAATCAAAAAGGGCTTGTCTGCCGAAACGAAACCTCTCTATCAGTTCACTGTCTGAATAGATGTCCAGTGGGTTTGTTCGATCACGGACGACTCTTTCTCTTCTTAATGCCCTTTCATTGTTAAACCTGTAAACAAGACGCCCTGCCATCGTTAATATCCTTCTTGCCTGTTTTACGTTACTATGGATACTAGTCTGTCTTTCCAATTTACGCCTGCTCCATACTAGGCGTAAAAGTTACACCCGGGCGCAACGCATACAGGGCTTAAGTCTAAGTGGTGCACTAGTCATAACTTTAGTTTGGTCTTAACCTTCGGTTCTACGTCGGACGTAGAGTTACGACCAGCTTACGCCCAGCTGGTGCACTCCACTCCTGGGGCTTTTTGGTGTGAACGCAAATATATCGTAGTTCTGATGAACTATTGTGGGAAAAGTACACCAAAGTACTCCGGTGTGAACGCACCTCTTGTCCAGCTACAGTCGTTCTTAACCACGCATGGCATCCACGAACAGTTTCAGTCTGGCTTCAAACCCATGCACAGCACTGAAACAGCCCTTTTAAGAGTTTTTAATGATCAGCTCCTAGCCGCCGACTCAGGTAGCCCAGCTGTCCTGGTGCTGTTAGACCTGACTGCTGCCTTTGACACTGTGGACCATAGCATCCTGTTGTCACGGCTTGAACAGTCCGCAGGCATCACAGGCTCTGCCCTTGCATGGTTCAGGTCTTACCTGACAGACCGTAGCTTCCATTCTCCTCTGCTAAAGCCCCTATTACCTGTGGGGTTCCCCAAGGCTTGATCCTGGGCCCCATCCTTTTTCTACTGTACATACTGCCCCTAGGTTCAATTCTCACAAAACACAATATCCCCTTCCATTGTTACGCTGATGATGTACAGATCTATCTGCCTCTCAATCAAAATGTCAACTCACTACAGCTATTGATGGACTGCTTAACAGAGATCAAATCCTGGCTGAGCCAAAACTTCCTCACCCTCAATGAGAGCAAGACCGAGGTCATCTTTTTTGGACCCCAACCTCCAGCCTCCCCGGTTGATATTCTGGGCTCTCTCAATAAAAACATCCTCCCCTCTGTCATGAACCTTGGAGTGACCTTCAATAGCGCTTTTAAATTTGATAAGCAGGTCAGCACCGTAGTCAAGACCTGCTTTTTTAAAATACGACTATTGGCCAAGACCAAGTCGTTTTTATCGAGACCGAGAAAGGGTTATTAATGCCTTTGTTACCTCGAGACTGGATTACTGCAACGCTCTGTATGTGGGTATGGACCAGGCCTCAATTAGACGCCTGCAGCTAGTTCAGAACGCAGCTGCACGTCTTCTCACTGGCCATAAAAAGGGTGACCATGTGGTCACCCCAATTCTGGCATCATTAGGTGCGTTCACACCGGAGTACTTTGGTGTACTTTTCCCACAATAGTTCATCAGAACTACGATATATTTGCGTTCACACCAAAAAGCCCCAGGAACTAAAGTAGCTCAACTTAGTTCATCAGACCCGCTTTTCAGTCCCTGCTAGAGAGCAGGGACTGTCGTGGGAGAAAGTAGTTCGTACGTCTGATTGGCTGTGCGGAATGCAAACCACGCCCGTTTGACTCTGAATTTTTTTTTGGAAGCGGCCATTGTATTTGCTCGCTTACCCGAAGAGATTACTTTTGTGAAAGCAGTTATTATAGCAACACTAAATAAATCATCGGAGCGGTGGAATTGATGAGGATGTCTCGGCGCTTCTGGCGATTTACTCGGAGGACGCGAAGCGCGGCATTCAGAAGCTTCTACTGAATGCAGTTTCCGTGAATTTAGCAGACCTGGCAAAGTTAGCAGACCTAGCAAAGTCATGTCGGGACGACTACCAAGGTAAAATAAAATACATGCACTGCACTGTTTTAATCTGCACAATACTGGTTTTAGATGTACTTTTATTTGCTCAGTAGATCGAGCTAGCCATGCTAGAACTTGCTAACGTTAGGTCCAAGCTGGCTAACAACATCTAGCTAGCTAGCTATTCTCAGCCATGCCTATGAACACGTTTTGACTTGTGAATAAGTGTGCAATGTTCTGTAATTTGCTTCACTAACTCATGGCACTAATCGTGTGTTTCAGGCGAGGTGTTTCTCTCAGGATTAGAAACTAGTTTTCCCCTAAAACGATAATATAACGTTAGCAATTAGCATGCTAGCTGGACATAATGCTACCTCTGTGGCTACACTGAATGCATAGAGGTAAACAATAGATTGTAGTTGCTATAATTTCAAGTAATTTGCAACATTCATTCTACATGTTAATGGTAAAAGCTTAAACAGTTGATTACCTGCATGCCACAAAGACTGATGTTCTAATATTTTTGCACATTTAAGTAGAAATGTAATTGAAATTCTATTTACTGCCTAAACATTGTTCCTTGTCATAGTATTATCCTAAATAGTTTGACCTTGTTTCCTCAGAAGGCTTCTCAGACTACATGGAGGATCCCTCAGAGAAACACAGTTTCCACCTTCAGTTCCCCCCCGCTGAGAGTAGGCAGCTCCACACCCTGCGCCCGGTCAGCGGACACCATCAGGACTACTATCTGATCACAGAGGATCCCATCCTGACCGCTGCTGCCATACTGCAGCAAACAGGAGGGAACAGAGGTGAAAACACACTTTATACATTTAGATATGTGGAGCACAAAGAAAAGTGTTGAGTTTAACTATAAAAATATTAGGTTCAACTAACCTAATACCGTTATATGAACTTTGCTGTGTTTTCAGCGTAGCTTTGTAAAGGTAACATTTAGCAGCTAAACTGTGGATAACAAGTAAACCACATTGGTTTGTTATTCAATATGGCCGCCAAAAGCTTTTTGAATCATTACATGTCACTTGTTAGACGCTTTTATCCAAAGCTTACATACTCAATACTGTGGGCAAATGTGGAGCTGCAGGATTTCTGCTTCACACACACGTTGCATACCGCTATTTTATTGTCATTTTCGGACACTTAAAATACTGCCAGACTAGTGAAGCCATTTTGGCGAGCTTGTTTTGCCGCGCACAGAGAAAAGTGTCATGTATTTTACATGCAACGATAGCCTAATCTAAAATGCTCTACTCTGGCGTACCTTTCGTGTGGTGTGTGGCGTCAGCGCAGACTCTCGCATCGTTATTGTTGCACACTTTGCAGGAGGCTACTCTTGGGCTTCGCTTGACCCTCGTCTTAGCCATGGCTTGTATTTGTCTTCTGCTAGCCAACGCTCGTTGAAACGGCAACCTCCTGGCATACTGTCATCTATCACTCTCATCAGAATGCCCAGGTCACACACGTAACAAAAACACTTGCCGGTCACGCGCATAGCGCGGGAAGGCCGGAGCGGAGCTGTTTTATGTAAAAGCGAAGCAATTAAGCGCGCTCCGACTTCTTTATTTTCTTTTAATCTAAAAAGCGAAGTAAAGCATTTACAATTTCAAGCACTTTATCCCAAATTCAAGCACCATTCCCAAAATTCAAGCACTTTTCAAACCTTGAAAACACCTCGTACAATTTCAAGCATTTTCAAGGATTTCCAGCACCCGTACGCACCCTGGATCCACTGCACATTGGTGTACACCAGGCCGAGGTTCTATTGTTCACCCAGAGAGAGCGCGGGACACGATGCGTTCCGTAGTATTCGCATATCTGGAATACATACAAAGACACAAATTAGCCCTACATAACTCCATAAATCCTACATTAGATAGTATTAATGTGATTTAATGAACGTACCATTGCTGTTCTTTGGGCGTGATAACGGTCATCATCCTCAGCTATCCTACGGCGAAACATGTCCATAGCGTGTGCTTTTCGTGGTCCAATCCTTTTGTTAAGGCTTCTTAACCGCCTTCGCCTCCGACTCAGCATTTCTATTGCATTTGAATGGTCGATCTGTATTTTTATTTGTGGCTGAGTTATTGGCTTAAATAACTCAGTTACGAAGCTGTATAACACGACCACCAAAACGTCAACTCCATACCGTGTCTGAGGTCGGAAGGTAAACAGAAGCATACAGCGGAAGCGGAAGTTTTTCTTCTTCTTCTCTCGGTTTTTTGGCGAATTGCAACTTTAAGGTGCATACCGCCACCTACTGTACTCGCCGTGAAGTTGTTTGCGGCCTGCCAGTAAACCCAAAGCAGAAGAAGAATAAGTGACGTCAGCGGCTCATTTGCCTAATCCACCCCCAGGAACTCATTTTGGTGTGAACGCGATATGCTTTAGTTCATCAGAACTAAAAGAACTCTCATGAACTAAAGTTCTCATGAACTACTGTGGGAAAAGTACTTGGTGTGAACGCGCCTATTGCACTGGCTTCCAGTTCGGTTCAGAATTGATTTTAAAATCCTTTTATTTGTTTTCAAAGCCCTAAATGGGCTGGCTCCGGCCTATATAGCCAAACTCCTCCATCGCTACACCCCAGCCAGAGCCTTAAGGTCGGCTGACCAGCTGCTGCTGATAGTGCCCAAGACCAGGCTCAAAACCCGAGGGCACCGAGCATTCGCAGCAGCAGGCCCCAGGCTCTGGAACACTCTGCCCCTCCATGTGAGGTCGGCCCAGACCCTAGGGTTTTTTAAATCAACACTTAA